AAGATTATCCAAAGTCAACTCAGTAGGTGATACAACTAAATCAGGATCTTTCGAATTTAAATTCAATGTGTTCAAGGTCAGATTGGCTTCTTTCGAGATCACATTACTATCATCCAGGCAGACTTTATCTAAGGAGTTATCTTTGAGGAGACTAGGATCAGGGTGGGCTAATGTGTCGACGTTTAAAAGTTTTAACTTTCATAGCTCAGGGTTTAAGTCATGCCGGGAGTCTGACTCAATCACTTCAGTTTTATCCTCAAAGAAGTCCTCGTTATTGATATTATCCACGAAATGGATGTATATAGTCTCAGGTTCAGTAGATTTCGTCTTTTTAATGCAATTCTTTATTAAAATCACACTTGCAAGGTCAAGGACTAGGAAGGCTAAAGGTTGACTGGGATGGCTTGAAGTGGGCCCAAGTGGGGAGTCATATGAGATTGATCCAACAGAAGACCCAATATAGGGTCAACCATCAAGGTTAGGTGAAGGCCTATAGGGTGGGGCATCAACCCTATTATTACTAAAAGATGGGTGGTCTCGACCACAGTAATGCCCATGGTTTGTTCCAACAAAAAAGGTAGAGTGATGCTCTAGATTGTGGTCACTAGTAGAGGGTCAGTATTTTAAATTAAGTTCTCCCCTCATGTCTTTTCAAGTAGGATACTCACCGAGAGACTCTTTATGATATTCCAATCTTATCCAAAATTGAAGAGCCTGACCTTTGAGGTGAGACTTAGCGATGCTAACCTGGTGGGACTTAGGGATATGACATGATTCAAAATAGTTCTCTAATTGTCTAACCCATTCCCTAAAGTAGTAAGGGTCCGAGGAAACATCAAAGGTGGGTAAACAGTAAGGTGACTTTAAGTGAGGTCGTTGAGGCTTAGGCTCAGGTCTAGGTTGATAAGCAGAGTGGGGCATCTTCCGACTAGCATGATTGACCAAATGAGGCACGTACTTAGAGTGGGGAGAGTCAATAGGTTTCTCCGTCATAATTCTAGTCATAGAGCCCACTAAGTTAACGATGTCATCTAACCTCTGTTGGAGTCTTATTGGGTCCATTGGGGAAGCGTCAAGTGACACTCAAAGATGATTGAGAGTAAGAGACGTCATTGAGACACTAAGTTAAGCTCACTTAAGCTCACTAAAGGGTGCAGATATTGAATGGACAGCAAGTTACACTAGTGGGTTAAGTAACCTAGGCTCTTTGGAAGGTTGTTAGGTTGAGGACAGCACCTAAACACTTAAGAAACTAGCCTACAGTTCACTAGGTGTGTGCAGGAATGATGTGGACAGCAAACTACAACAAATATCTAAGTTGTCTAAGTGTTTTGGAGGGCTTCTAGAGTGTGGTCAGCACTTAAACACAAGCTTAGACTCACCTAAATGCCACTAATTGGTGCTGGAAAAACTAGGACAACAAGCTAAAATGTTTGTCTAAGCAACCTAAGCAATTAGGGATGTTGTTGTGACAAGGACAACACTTAGACAATGAAGTAGACTTGCTTAAAGTGATGAAAACGATGTAGAAATTTAGAAGGCAGTGAGCAAAAACAGTGAATAAAATTATTATGCAATGGTATGCATGCAAACAAGCATAAGAAAAGGTTAATCTAGACTCCTAGGAACTTCTAGCATATATAATGATGCTAGCCATGCTCTGATACCAAGATCATGTGAAACAATATGCATGGAAACAAGAACTGCTTGGAGGATTTTAATATAAGATTATTAAAGCATTGCTAGTTATAGAATTAATGTTTACCCAAGTTAAGCTTTCAGAATTATCAAGTAGAAATTATGTAAGGCATGCGGTTACAACTAGATTAACGGGATGCTATCAATTTAACAACATAAAAATAAAGGGAGTAAGGTTATGGCAAAAACAATAATCCACAGCTAACAATTAGAACTTTTCACCTTGGGTCCCTCACTCATGCTCTTAACTATTGGGTTTTACCGGAGGAAGATTGAGAGCAAACCGAGCAATGCCATTAGGAAACAAATGGTGCCCAATGTATAGTCCGTTGGAGAAGTAGCCGGCGGCGGGGAGTCCACGGGATGACTAGTGAGTATCCAACGTCCAGGAGGAATATGCTCCTCGATGGAAGGTACTAGTGTAAACAGGATGTGATGTCAGTAATCCTCTATGGAAGCATCCACGTCTAGGTTCACGTCGAAGAAGGAGATTCGACAATGTTTGTTCGTCCTTGATCATCATATAAGAAGCCATGGTCGACTTTTGGATCGGCCATGCATAGCGGTGGTGGCGGTTGGAGAAGAACAAGCTTGAGATTTGTGAGGAGGAATGGAGAGGATGATGGGGAAGACTTTGGAGGGTGAGGGGCGGCTAGGGTTAAGGTTTCTTTTGGGTTGAGCCAAGTGGTTTGGGGAGAGAAGGTGAGAGGGAAAATCTGAAGTCTAAAGTTCAGATTTTCATTAGAGAGGGAGAGCCAATTTGAAATTCAAATCAACCCAATTAAGGGATTAATGGGGCCGGCGGTTATTAGGGGATTTAAGGAGGGATTAAATGTTGCTTAGGTGGCAAAGTGGAGAGAGAGAGGGAAAACTGAAATTAATTTCAGTTCAAGTGAAATTGGAGGGAGAATATTTGAAATCAATTTTGAATTTGAAATAAGGGTGGAGGAGTAATTGAGCATTCAATGGGGGAAGCCCAATAAGGGGCTGGCGGCATCATGCATGAGGGAGGGGAGTGGGGAAGGAGGTTGAGAAGCTTCTAAATAGGTAGTGATTATTAGTAAAGAAGAAAAATAAATCCAATTTGATTTATTTTAAAATTGGATTCAATATAGAAACTTTCCTAATTTGAATTTTCCCTAAATGGAAAGAATTTGAAATTTGAAATTTGAATTTCAAATAGGGAGTTTAGGGGAAAAGAGGGCCGACGGGTGTATGATGGAAGGCCGGTGACCAGAGGACTGGCCGACAGGTGGGAAGGTGGTTGTCGGCTTAGGTATCCCAAGGAGGCTGGCGGCAAGGAGGAAGGGGCTCGGGTTCTCCAAGGAAGTTGGTGGGGTGAGGATTTCTTGAAAGGGAAGAAGAAAGAAATTGGCGTAGGCGAAAAGGAAATTGTAAAGCCACTAACCTCAACACCACCTCCACTAGAACTCACAAAAAGATCCATGATACTCTCTCCTCAAGAACTCACAAAGAGATCTAGGGAAATTTTTGAACTCACAAAGAGATCAACAAGAAATTTTTTTTTCATTCATCAATAATCATCCCCTAGTACAATGCATGAGGCCTCTTATAAATAGGCCAAAATGAAACAAAAACTAAAAGACATAATTGCCCTCGGGGCTACAATATCAAATGACCACCCATAAGGGTAAAACAGTAAAAACTGAAAAAATAAAATAACTACTACATAAAATGACTCAAAATATAAACTCCTGATCTTGGCGCTCGATCTCCAGCGTGTCCGATGGTACACGTGTCGAAATCGCTGATGATATCCTCATTAGAGTACTTTTATGATAATAGACGGTGACTCCTGTGACGGTTGTACTATATATGAAATAAGAAAATTACGAATATTTACATGATGAATGAAAAATGAATATGAAGGATATGAATTTATGATTTATATGTATGTTTAATATTATGTTTAGAGAAAGCAAATTTATAATATGTTTAGGTGGCATCTGACATATTACTCATTTTGCCTTGAATTACTGTAGTTTAGAGTTATGTTTTACTTACTAAGAATTGGCTTATTATTAGTTGTTAAAAATTTTCAAGTATAATTATTTTAATCTTAATGAGTAGAAGGGGTGGAAACGTGTATCGTAGGGGAAGCGCGTCTGAAGAAATGTAATTATATGAATCTTAATGATTTTATGTATATGTGTTTTCAAATTAAATGTTTTTAGTGGCTCTTTCAAATGTTATGGTAATAGTTTTAGAGATTAGATATTTTTAGTTTACCGTTCGACCTCCGTTCCCGCCTCGCCTATGCAAACTCACCGGGCCGGGTCGTGACAACGTCGATCACATTCCATATTCGGGTGACTTATTTAGGAAGTATTATATTAGAACAATTATGCGTGATTCTGTTTTATTTGTTTATTTATTAAGATATCTTGTATAAATCTATAAATAAAGATAATTTTGTATATTAAAATTAAGCTTTTTTCCTCTCTAATTCTCTAAATTTAATAGTAATACATTGGTCATTGGTGAAATTGTGAATATTAAGAACAACAATTAGAAGCTTGAAAGTGTTACTCATCACTCTTATCACAAACTTGCTCTGTCTCTGGACAATGAGGATGACAGGGCGATACTGAAGCTGCTTTAATTAAAATAGGTCCCAGTATTCTTTCATTCCATGGTGGCTGTATTGTTGTCAAATAAATCTTTTTATATGGATTGATACAGATGCAAAATTGCAGTTCTTGGTAAAATTATGATATATTTTTTTAAACATAAAGTTAGGAGAAATAGAGAGGTTTCCTTATGGCCCATTTTAATTCCATACGGAACAGTTCATCTGCACAATCAATTGTGGCATTCTGCAGTCGCTCTTCTAATGAATTAGGAAGAGGATCCAGTTTCTAGTACACTGCACTACTAAATCATTGAATACTCCAAATGGGCACTAAAGCTCTTCTCTGTTTTCTAATCTACATTTCGTTTCTTCCTTTCTCTTACAAACATTATCTTTAAATCAATTGAATTATTACTATGTACGGAAAAAAAATTAATTGTAGTGTGAAAATGTTAATTTCCAATATTTTATGCTTTTGATAGTTGTGCTTTGTGTGTCTGGTGGGCATCATCCTTGTCTGTAGAAAGTTTCCATGGGCGCAACTTGAGCTTTTTCGCATTGGAGTTTATATTCGTAGTTGGTGCTATTATATATGTAGTTTTCTTCTGGATGGACCGTGGAACTTAATATATATTTATCTAACCCTGGTTTGTACTAATTCATTTTGTTTTTATATTGATTAATTGCCCATCTTGTAATTAATGTGCAGGCTGGCGTCGCTAAGTTAGACACATCTTTGAGTATTATAGGCCACAAGCTTGAGCTTAGGCTATATGGATTTAATGATAAACTATCAACGCTTTTATCGAAAATATTGACTATCGCTAGGAATTTTTCACCTAAAATAGATCGATTCAAGGTATTTTACAATAAAATTATACCTTTCATATTCAATAAGTTGTTCATTGTTTGACCATCTTACCTTTTTCGAATTTACCAGGTAATCAAGGAGGATATGGAAAGATCCCTAAAAAATGTCAATATGAAGCCCTTGAGTCATTCGACATACCTGAGGCTGCAAGTTCTAAGGGAAAAGTTCTGGGATGCAGATGAGAAGCTGGCCTGCCTTGTTAAGTTATCTCTTTCTGAGTTGGAGGCATTCATTCCTATTCTTCTATCTGAGGTATGCAGACAGCACCATGAACAGTTTTACTAACCTGCAACCCATTCCAGCTTCTACTGTTGGTGCCTCTATATTCTGCCTGAGCATCCGCTGTTTTAATTGCTTGTTATCCTACTATTCTTTTTATCACGTCTGCCCAGTTTTTCCAGGGATGTATAGAAAAAGATTTTTATTGGCAGCTCATATAGTTATAATCAATATGATAATCATAGTGAGAGTATTTCCTTAGTGGATAGTGTAGGAATGGATACTCTCATTTATTTTATTTTACTCGAATTTTAGATACTTATTCCTACAATTTGCAGCTACATGTTGAAGGGCTCTGTCATGGAAATCTATTGGAGAATGAGGCGACCAATATTTCAGATATATTCAATAATACCTTTTCTATGCGACCTCTACCTCTAGGATTGCATAATCAGGATCGTGTTCTTTGTCTCTCATCAAATGAAAGCCTGGTCAAAAGTATGCCCGTGAAAAATGAGGTTGAAGTGAACTCTGTGGTTGAGGCAAGCATGAAATTTACCCTATTTACTGTTATTTTTTGCTGACCTTGCATCAAATTTCCTTCTATTGTATTCCAGCCATTTGCACTGTTATTGGGCATGCAATGGCCTTCTCACGCCACATGTTCTTATTATAACTGGCTGACATAGTTAAAGACAGCGCACACACACACAGAGAGAAAAGCTGTCTTCTTGGGTGGCGGATTAGGCATACTCCTACCAGTTTATGGATAAAAACAAATTATAACTTTTTACGCATGGTTCTGTAAATAACCAATAGTAAAGCAAAGTAAAAAGATAAAAAAATCAAAATACATCCTATACTAAGATAAAGCAGCCCCAACTTATTCAACCAAAGAATCGAAACAAGGAGTTCAAATGACTAATCAGCAGTGATCACCCTAGAGGATTTAAGCTTGGATCCAACGTTTGCAAGGAAATCAGCCACAACTTTCTCTGCAGGACAAAATTGGGAAAGCCTAAACTTAAAGTTAGCTAACAAATGCATGATAACCATTACTAGATAAAAAAGCCTTCTGGGCACATTTTTAAGCCTTGGAAAACTTCCAAAATTTTAAGCCTTGGAAAACCCCCAAAAGTTTATTGAGAAAGGAAGAGAAAACACCAAGATAAGAATAAAAAGGAAACTAAAATATTCCCCTTATGATCGCGAATAATACCACAAGTAGATTTACTAAGATAATCCTTGGCGCATCCATCACAGTCATGATTAACGTCCCCAATCAAAGGTTTAGTTCACAAGGCAAAGAGGAACAACTTAATAAGTAGTATTACAGTAACTAAAAGCACAAAGGTTTACTAGAAAATGTATTAACAGTTTCTAAACCAATATCTACTAGTAACATGATGAGTATGATTTTAACAATTCTGTAAAGAATTCTATCCGTGTTTAAAGAACAAATACGGAACTTAGCAGCATTTCTCTCATGCTAACAAAGGTAAGGAACAACAAAACTTAACAACATGGAGGCAAACAGTACCACCCCTTGAACTGGAATGTTTCCATTCCTTGATAGACAAACTCCAAATTATTAGTCACGATTTGGAACCTTTAAAATGATGCATAATGATACTACATCTTGGAAACACCAGCGCATTAAGGAAAATATGAGAAAATAATTCTGAGTTGAAAACTATATTGACATTTAGAAACATGATTAAAGCTTAATTTTTGCAACTTAATCAATAAGAAAAAACTGACAAAAAAAAAAAGAAAAAAAGAAAAAAACAAGGTAGGAATACATTTATGCCAAAGTAACCTCTTAAAAGTTGTTTTTGCTCTAAAAATGCACACCTCCCTGACATACTTAGTTCTAAATGATTGATCGGTAAAGACATTGTATAAAATAACATCCTTTTTTCAACTTCTTAAGATGACGTGAGCTTGGCCTCATTTGACCCGTCAGCCACAAAGAAATCTCAAATTTTAGCTAAAGAATAATGACCAAGATACAACAAGAGGATTATGCCTAAACAAAATGTGAAGCTAAAATAAAAACACTTACCAACACCTAGATTCCAAAAATTAAAATTTGTGGGATCTATAGGGATATTATTAGTAGAATTCAAGATTGACGGTTGAAGTGGAAGATTGTGTCAGCCTATTGTGTGATAGAAAAGTACTCTCTCAAATTTAAAGTTAAATTTTATAAGATGGTGGTGAGTCCTGCAATGCTTTATGGCACAGAATGTTGGTCATTAAACGAGAGTTATAAAAGTAAGTGAAGTGTTGCAGAGATGGGGATGCTTAGGTGGATGAGTTGCTTTACTCTTAAGACATAATGCGAAATGAGTATATATATGAAAGACTAACCTTAGATGGTTTGAACACATAAAACGTTAGCCTTTTGATGATCCAACTAAGAGAGTAGATGTCTTAGATTTGGCCTAAGTTAAAAAAGGTAGAGGTAGACCTAAAAATGTTTGATTAAAAAATATTAGAAATAATATTTTTTTATCATATTTAAATTAAAATTTGATTTTTAATTAAACACAATAAAAAAATGATTCAAGTAGCTGACCCCATGTAATGGAAAAATTATTAGGTTCGGACACCGGATGTAGCTCTACATCCGGACGCCAATGACATGTCGCCACGTGCTCTTACTCTTTACCGCGTGGCCCGACCACCCGACCCAGACCGGAACCCGGTATTGCTATGTTTGGGTATTGCTGGGTATTGCTAGGTATTGTTCGGTATTGCTAGGTATTACTTGGCAATAACGAGAAATACCGCTCTGTCAAGACCAATATCTAGCAATACCGAGCAATACCTAGCAAAACCGAGGTATTGCTAGGTATTGATTTTGACAGATTGGTATTTCTCATTATTGCCGAGCAATACCGAGCAATACTTAGTAATACCCTGGTCTGCACAAGTCAGCCAATACATAGCAAAACCTAGTCCGGGTCGTCGGGCCGCGCGGTAAAAAGTAAGAGCACGTGGAGACATGTTATTGGCGTCCGGATGTAGAGCTACGTCAGGTGTCCAGACCTAATAATTTTTCCATGTAATGAGATGAAGACTTAATATTGTTAATATTTTTATTGTAGTGTTATGTCATAAATGAGAAATTTCAGCTTGATTCCCTTGGTTTTGCAATGCACTCAAAATATTTATGCGATTAATATTATTCATTTGTTCTAAGTTTTTTTTATTGCAAAAATTGATTTAATTTGAGTTTAATTTCTCTAATTAATTATGCCTAATCAATTATAATTTATCTCATAACTTTCTATGTACTTTACTTTAGGAGTTTTGTTCTTTTAGATTTTTTTTGTAACAATAGATGTTTGTTTCTTTCTCTGTAAAATATCTCGGTTCCATTCCCACTGCCTAGCCTTAAACCCGTTCCTTCTACATGGTAGGATAGGAGTGATACGGTTCAAACTATCAAACAAATATACGATCGCATTGTCGGCTGGTCTATTTATTTTATACATTCATATTAGGGCTTTATGCCTATAACCAGAAAATTCACTTGTAAAGACATAATGCTGGCAACGAACTCGATTCTCTGTTAGCAATTAGTCAATCAACAAGGTTCAATAGATAAAATTACAAAAATGCCCCCAAAATACATGTATGGGCACGCGACAAGTGTGATGCATATACACATGTGATATTTGAAGATGCTACACGAGTCAAATGATAAATTTAAGTTTGAGCTCGATCCTTCTATGTGAGTAGATATGAGTCGATACGGCTCGAACTATCAAACAAAATATACGGTCACAACATCAACCGAGATATATTTTTTAATACGTTTATATTAGGCCTTCAAGGCCGATAACTAGGAAAATTCACTGAATAAAGGCATAAAGCCTACCATGAACCTAATCCTCTGTCGGCAATTAAACAGAGTTGTCAAGGTTCAATCAATAAATTACAATTGCCCACAAATGCCCCAATTATTGCCGTCTTGACATAAAATATCAAATGGAGGAGTCCCCAAATATTTAAAATATCTCCCAAATGCTCATAAAAATCCATAATTCCAAAAATGACAAGCTTAAAATATTTAAATTTGAATTAACTGTTAAACACTTAAAGAAGAATCCAGCCATCCTCCGTAATAATTTGTCGATGACAAATTTATAAATCACTTTAGCTCACAAAGAGCTAATGTTTGATCGAGAGTATCACTAAGATTTATTCTCATTCTCAAACAGTCTCCCGCCAGTAAATATGTGGCAGTTGTCCTCTAATCGGCAGTTTGGCCGAATGGCTCTACAAAGACCTAATGGTTTTGGCCAGATGGCTTCACGTGATCAATGATTTTGTACGCTACCCTCTGTCCTTGTAGCTTGGACCAATGAATCTAGTTACGGTTATAGCCCGTATGCTCCCCAATGGATTCAAATCCTTAAGATATGAATTATTAAAATATAATCGAGAGGGCATAAAGCCCTCTTTTAGCTAAGGTGTACCCAGATTCGTCCCTTTTGAAAAATATTAACCCAAGGTTTATAAGACACCCTTGGACGAAGCAACCTATGATTGCTGACAAGGATCCTTCTGTCAAGTTGGGTCGACTACCTCCTATGACTAAGTAGACCACGGACCATGATCTTTTGGGACAACAGAATCATGGGATCTTGATTTGGTCTCACATCACTTCCTCTCACCATCCGCTTTAAGTGCAAGATGGTGAAATTTCTAATTTTAAATATTAATTTTTCGACAACTTAATTCATGCTGCTATTATAGACCAGATAACATATATCTCTACGTATCTATTCAATGACTATAATCGAAAGTTCTCTCTCGTCACCGGGAGAGGTAATTAACTATAGGGGCTTGCACCTACAAGAAACCAGAACTCAGATCAAAAAGTCCTGGTAAAATGAGGGCGAAATCTCTGGGTAATGTCTTATTTCAAAACTAATCTACCTTCAGAAAATTTACCCCAGAATCTTATTTGTTAAACTGTCCCGAAAGAGGGGAGGCAGGGGCACGAATTTTCAGAAAAAGACCTCTCTTCCTGCAGTAGTAATAGAGTTGGCAATTGGGCAAATTCTCAGAGAACTCGAGAAGTTCACATGGCTGGTTATGATTGAATCACTAAAAATCAATTTACGTAGTTATATTTTTACTTTTTAGATCATTTATTTATTGATTCCCTTTTTTAAATCAATTAATTTGCTTTAAATGTGGATTGTTCTTGGTGATTGATTATTTCTCATTGTTGCAATCATCACAGACACTTCTTAATATCACTTGATAATCTTTATTACACTTCAAAGGATCTCCCATTTTAGGCAATGATTTCGACAAATCTCTTCTAGAACATGCTATCCTAACAGGGACATATCAAACTTTTTACAAGGAATATGGCAATTATCTGTTCATGCATGAAGCTCTTTCCATAGCATCTAGCATGCAAACTCCTTCCTGTGGGATACTTGGTTTGATGAGGATCTCTTCTATTTAAGATTGTTTTCCAACTATAGAGAGACTTTTCCTAATACTGATCTCAAGC